TGTGTACAAAATACTTATAGCAGCTCTTTTCTGTCAGCAAAGAATTGGAAATTGAAGGGATGCTCATCAATTGGGGAATGGCTAAACAAATTATGGTATGTGATTATGATGGAATACTATTGTACAATAAGAAATGATGGGCAGGATGATTTCAGAAAAGCCTGGATTACGTGAGCTCTAATACAAAGTGAAATGTGCTGTGTACAAAGTAACAGTGATACTGTAAGATGATCAGCTGTGAATGACTTGGCTGTTCTCAGCAATACAATGATCCAAGACAATTCTGAAGGACTTATGATGAAAAATGCTCTCCAGCCCCAGAGAAAGAACTGATGGTGCCTGAATACAGACTTAAGCAGACCTTTAAACTTTATTTTTCTTGAGGGTTTTTTGTTTTTGGTCTATGTTTTCTTTCACAACATGACTACCATGGATTACACGTGTATAACCTATATTCAATTGCTTGCCTTCTCAATGAGGGGGGTCAGGAGAGAGGAAGAGGTAGAATTTGGAACTCAAAGTTTGAAGAATGAATGTTAAAAATCGTTTTTGCATCTAACTGGGGAAAAATCGAATACTAAATGAAGTACAAAAAACCTGAATTCCAAATTCTCTTCTTCCCTCTAGTCCCTCAACCACTCATTGAGAAGGTAAGCAATATGATATCAATTATATATGTGAAATTATGCAAAACATACTTGCATATTAACCATGTGGCAAAAAAATAAAGCAAAAAAATTATACTTGCAATTGTTGAATTGCAATTTGCAAATTGCAATTATTTATCAGTTCTCTCTTGGAGGTGGATAGCATGAGCTCTTTGAAATGGTCTTGCATCACTATTGATCAGAAGAGCTAAGTCTTTCACAGTTGATCATCCTTACAATATTACTTTTACAGTGTGCAGTGTTTTCCTGGTTCTGCTCATGTCACCTTACATCAGTTCATATAAGTCTTCCCAGGTTTTTCTGAAAGCATCCTGCTCATCATTTCTTATAACACAATAGTGTTCTATCACAATTGTACACCATAACTTGTTCAGCCATTCCTCAACTGATGGCTACCCCATGAATTTCCAATTCTGTGCCACTATAAAAAGAGCTGCTATAAATATTTTGTGCATATAGGTCCTTTTCCATTTTTCTTTGATTTCTTTGGGTTACAGACTTAGCAGTAGTATTGCTAAGTCAAAGAGAATGCCCAGTTTTATGGCCTTTTGGGCATAGATCCAAATTGTTCTCCAGAATGTTTGGATCAGTTCGCAACTCAGGTAGAGTATTTTGGAAGATCTAACTCAATTGGCTTGATCCCTCAGTATAAATCATTTGATAAGCTAAAAAAATCATCTCAAACTCAGTTTACATCTTACTAACAAGCCAACAGCATGCATTTTTAAAATAATAATTAAAAATAAAATAGGCAGACAAGGAATAGAGAATCCATTGGACAAAATTCCTAAGGATTAAAATCAAATTTCACTCTGATTCACATTGTGAGCATGTATTTATGTGGAGGTAGTGAAGGGGAGGAAATTTTTTTTTTTGGCTTGCAGTCCAGCACTTTATTCATTATCAAGTGTCTTTCATTCACATATTTAAATTCACCAAGTATTTAAAGACTTGTTGACTAAGCATGTGTCTAGAACATGTTAGAACATTTCCAGGAGGCCACTGAAGTAATTTTTTTTTCTCTGCGGGACACTTTAAAAATAATTTTTATTAATTTATTTTGATTTATCAACAATCACTTCTATATATTCTTTTGAGTTGAAAATTTTTCTCCCCCTTCCCCCCCTTCCCCAAGACGGTGCACAATCTGATATAGGCTTTACATTTACATTCCTATTAAACATATTTTTACATTAGTGAAGTTGTGAGTAAAAATCAAAACCAGTAGGAGGAACCATCAGAAAGATGAAACAAAACTCAACAGAAGGTAATAATAAGTGATAGTGATTCAATTTCCATAGTTCTTTCTTTGGATGTGGACAGCATTTTCCATCATGAGGCCTCTGGAGATGTCTTAGATCCTTGTAATGCTGAGAAGAGTTCAGTTTAACAATATTAGTCATCACATAACGTGGCTGTTATTGTGTACAAAGTCCTCTTGGTTCTGCTCACTTCGCTCAGCATCAGACCATATAAGTCTTTCCATGTTTTTCTGAAGTCAGCCTGTTCATCATTTCTTATAGCACAATAGTATTCCATTACATTCATATACCACAACTTGCTCAGCCATTCCCATTGATGGGCATCCTCTCAATTTCCAATTTCTTTGCCACCACAAAAAGAGCTGCTATGAACATTTTTGTACGTGTGGGTCCTTTTCCCATTTGCTTGATCTCTTTGGGATATAGTCCTAGAAATGCTATTGCTGGATCAAAGGGTATGCACATTTTTGTAGCCCTTTGGGCATAGTTCCAAATTGTTCTCCAAAATGGTTGGATCATTTCACAACTCCACCAACAATGTATTAGTGTTCCAATTTTCCCACATCTTCTCCAACATTTATCATTTTCCTGTTTTGTCATGTTGGCCAATCTGATAGGTGTGATGTGGTACCTCAGAGTTGTTTGATTTGCATTTCTCTAATCAATAACAATTTAGAGCATTTTTTCATATGACTATAGATGGCTTTAATTTCTTCATCTGAGAACTGTCTGTTCATATCCTTTGACCATTTATCAATTGGGGAATGGCTTGTATTCTTATAAATTTGTCTTAATTCTCTATGTATTTTAGAAATGAGGCCTTTATCAGAGAGACTGGTTGTAAAAATTCTTTCCCAATTTTCTACCTTCCTTCTAATCTTAGTTGCATTGGCTTTGTTTGTGCAAAAACTTTTCAATTTAATGTAATCAAAATTATCCATTTTGCTTTTCATAACATTATCTATCTCCTGTTTGGTCATGAATTCTTCTGTTCTCCATAGATCTGATAGGTAAACTATTCCTTGTTCTCCCAGTTTACTTAAAGTATCAGCCTTTATATCTAAGTCATGAACCCATTTTGACTTTATTTTGGTATATGGTGTGAGATTTGGGTCTATGCCTAGTTTCTGCCATACTCTTTTCCAGTTTTCCCAGCAGTTTTTTTTTCAAAGAGTGGGTTCTTATCCCAGAAGCTGGTTCTTTGGGTTTATCAAATAATAGATTACTATAGTCATTGACTACTGTGTCTTGCATATTTAACCTATTCCACTGATCCACCTCCCTATTTCTTAGCCAGTACCAAACAGTTTTGATGATTGCTGCTTTATAATACAATTTAAGATCTGGAATTGCTAGGCCACCTTCAAAGGGAAGGGAATTGATGAACAACAATCATCACCAGGACTCATGTTGAGGACTTATGTTGAGTTGTAGTGAAGGCCATAGAAATGCCTTCCTACCAAAAATCACTTGGGGAAGGACTGAGGTTGGTGAAATATGAATTGCCTAGTATAGAAGGGGGCTGAGGCAACTTTGAGGTCTATCCCTCAGGGAAACCACAATGAGAGGAAAAGGAGTCAGAAAGTAAGCCATAGAGGAATATAAGAAAGAAAAAGACTGAAATTGCTAAAGATACCAGGAGGAAGAAAACTCAAATAAAAACTTTGAGGATAAGCAGATAAACCAACAGAAAAGAATTAATAACGGAAGGGAATATGGCCTCCAAATCAAGTAAAAGAGTCCAGACATCCATGAATAAAGAAAGCATGGAACCACAATAGGATGTTACTGAATGGTTTAAAAGAGAAATAAAAATTGTGAAATTAGAATTCGTGATCTGCACAGCAGAAATAATTGGTAGGCTAGAAAAAATTGAATCCACAGGGGCAAGTGTCACCAAAGAAACAAAAAAGAATAACTGAATGGGAAATACAGGGAAGAGAAGGACAAACTGAATAAAGAGAAGCAAAAAGCAATGACATTAAATTAAACTTCATATGAGCCAAACATTGACTTCAAAAACAGGATGCATAAAGTTGACTTAAGGATTATAAGCCTCCCAGTGGAGCATGACAATAAAATTCATGGAGTCAGGAATTGGACTTTAGTGTACAAGAAATAGCAATCATATCCCATTCTTCTCCATGCCCTGGCTCTTATTTTCTCCATGGTGAATATACCCAGTTCCTTCACAGGATCTTCATATGACATGAACATAAGGCCCTTCCCTATCTTGGTTACCCTTCTATGGATGGTCTCGGTCTTATCAATGTCCTTCTTTAACTGTGGTGCCCAGAGCTGAGCACAATACTGCAATAGAGGGCTGGGGAAGGCAGAGAACAGTATGATTACCACCTCCTTATTCCTGGAAGCTGAACCCCTCAATGCAATTCAAGGTTTGTCTGTCAAATATTGCAAGGCTGACTTTTGTTGAGTTTGCAATCCCATTAAAATTTCCACATCTTTTTCAGACAGACAGCCATCTCACCATACATGACTCCTTCATCTTGTACTTGGGATATCAAATTTTTTAACCCAAGTATAAGACTTTATATTTGTCTCTACTAAATTTCATCCTATTAAGTATAGTTCAATACTCGAGCCTGTCAGAATCTTTTGTAATCCTATCTCTAGCATCCAGTGTGTTAGTTACTCCTACTTATTTTGAATTATGGACCACTTTGATAAGCATGACATCTGTGTCTTTATCCAAGTCATTAGTAAAAATGTTTAAAAGCACAGGGCCAACCATGGAGCCCTAGGGTACTCCAATGGAGAATGCCTGTGAAGAGGACCATTGATGGCTACTCTTTGAATCTAGTCATTCAATCAGTTCCAAATCCACCTAATTCTGTTATTGTTGAGTTAACAGCACAGGGCCAAGCACAGATCCTTGGAGTACTCCCCTGGGGCCCTACACACATTAGCATTGAACTGTTCATCCTGTTCAATGATCAAAGACTAGTTTGGTCTTCTTTCACCAGTCAGGTTCCATAACTCCTACATCAATCACCCTGCATTACAGGAACTCACTGATATGGGAAATGGAGTCCTGGAAACCATCTTCCAATGAACACTCATTCTCTGGACCTGGGCATCATGGGAAATGCAGCCCTCCATTCACCACCTCAGCCATGCCATCTATAGGTATCAAGGATATAAAATATTTTGAAATCTTTAAAGCACAATACAAATATTAGCTATTATTATTATTATTATTAAGGATCAATTCTGAAAAGCTTACAAGCAATACCAATTTGAGAAAAACTATAATTTCAACTTGAAAGGTTTACCTTAGTGCCAGTGGCTTTAGAAAATTACAGCAGTAGCTAGGGTTAATAGAGTACTGAGGTCTCTGAAGCACTGTAAATGAAGAGATTTATAATAAGTAAATAACATTTAGTCCTAACTTTTTTTTTCATTAGTAGAGAAACTACAGTTTTCAGAAGCACCTGCACAATGGAAGTCTGTTAAGCCTTTTCTTTACCCAAAAAGCAAGGACAAAGCTGAGGTAGGTTTCATTCCTAGACCTAGGATTTGACCCAATCAATGAAAATTCCATATACTGTTGTGTTAGGAAATATCACACATCCCATGGACACATCTAGGAAATTTTGACATCCCAAGGACAACCCAAGATTTAAAGAGGGGTCATGATGGAGAAGAGAGAAAAAGGGAGAACTCAGTTTTTTTAAAAAAATTTAAAATTTAATTTTTTTTTCAATTACACACAATTTTTAACATTCATTTTAAAAAATTTTGAATTCTAAATTCTCTTCTTCCATCCCTTTTGTTCCCCATCCTCAAGAAGGTAAACAATTTGAAATAGATTATATATGTGCAGTCAAGCAAAACATATTTCCATATTACCTACGTTGCAAAAGAAAATATAGACCGGAAAAAAAAAACAATCCAAACCCTCAACAAACATGAAAAAGAAAGTTTAAAAAAAATAGTATGCCTCAATCTGCATTCAGATTCCACTAGTTCTTTTTCTGAAGGTGGATAGCATTTTTAATCATAAGTCCTTTGGAATTGTCTTAGATCATTGTATTGCTGAAAGTAGCTGTCATTTACAGTTGATCATTATATGATATTGTTGTTATTTCATACAATGTTCTCCTAGTTCTATTCACTTCATTTTGTATCAGTTCATATAGGTCTTCCAGGTTTTCTTCTGAAACCATCCTGCTCATCATTTCTTATAGTATAATAGTATTCTATTACAATCACATGCCACAAGTCATTCAACTATTCCCCAGGTGATGAGCATCCCCTCAATGTCCAATTCTTTGCCATCACAAAAAGCTGCTATAAATATTTTTGCATCTAGAGGTCCAGAAAAAGGGAGAACTTTAAAAACTCACGTGATCTTTTTTGTTTAGACAGGACACATGATACCATGGATCAGAATATCCCAACCAACTCCGTCATCATTCAAAGGACCTGCTTTGGGCACTCCAGAATTCTCTGCTCCATATTATCAGTCCAGTTATAGAGAAAAGGAAAGGAAATGCACAGATTTTCCCGGTATATAAGTTATATCACCATCAGTCTGGAATGATTAAAATTTTCTGAATCTGGAAATCAGAAAGAGGATTGAGAGAAAACAGTGTCATAGAAGGCTGACTGAGATGAGTGTGCCTGGGTGGTCTAGTTAAATGGAATCTATATTATATAAATGTTGACATGAGGATAATCTTAGTAGCTAGTATTTATGTAGTGCTTTAAGGATTTCAAAGCATTTTACATATTTTATCTCATGTGATCTTCACAACAACCCTGAGAGGTAGGTTTTGACACTGTTGGGTAAATGAGGAAACTGAAGCTGAGAGAGGTTAAGTCATTCAATAAACACTTTTTTCCCCCCAGTTTTTAAAGTTTTATATTCTCTCCCTCCAGCCCCTCCCCCACCTATTGGGAAGACAAATAATATGAAACCCATTATATATGTGAAGTTGCAAAACATATTTTCATATTAGCCATATGGCAAAAAAAATTTTAAAGCAATAAAAATAAAATGAAAGAAGGTTTCAGTTTGGACTCAGAGTTCATCAGTTCTCTCTCTAGAGGACAGCGTCTTTTCTTCAGGAGTCCTTTGAAATTGTCTTGCATCATTGCATTGATCAGAGCATCTAAGTCTTCCATAGTTGGTCACCCTTACAATATTGCTTTTACTGTGTACAATGTTTTCCTGGTTCTGCTTATGTCACTCTGCATCAGTTCATGTAAATCTTCCCAGGTGTTTCTGAAAGCATCTTGCTCATCATCTTGTATAGCACAATAGCATTTCATTCCAATCATATAACACAACTTATTTAGCCATTCCCCAACTGATGGGCATCCCCTCAATTTCTAATTCTTTGCCACTATAAAAAAAGAGCTGCTATTAATATTTTGTACAAATAGGTCCTTTTTAGAATTAATGAAAAAAATGTGAAGGAAGTGAAGTGGTCATCATCAAAACTACCTGGTATTGGCTAAGAAATAGAGTGGTGGATGAGTGGAATAAATTAGGTATACAATATACAATAGTAAATGACCATAGTAATCTTGTGTTTTATAAACCCCAAAACTACATCATCTGGGGCAAGAACTCACTATTTGACAAAAACTACTGGGAAAACTGGAAAACATTATGGCAGAAACTGGGTATATACTTACACCATATACCAAGATAAGGTCAAAATGAGTACGTGATTTAGACATGAAAAGTGATACCATAAGCGAATTAGGAGACCAAGGAATAGTTTATTTGTCAGATATATGAATAAGGGAAGAATCTAGGACCAAGAAAGAGACAAGAGAGCGTTATAAGATGGAAAATGGGTAGTTTTGATTATATCAAATTAAAAAGGTTTTACACAAACAAAACCAATGTAACAAATATTAGAAGGATAACAAAAAGGTGGGAAACAATTTTTACAGCAAGTATCTCTGATAAAGGCCTCATTTCTCAAATATATAGAGAACTGAGTCAAATTTATAAGAATACAAGTTATTCATCAGTTGATAATTGGTCAAAGGATATGAACAGGCAGTTTTCAGATGAAGAAATCAAAGCTTTCAAATCATATAAAAATGTTCTAAATCTCTATTGATTAAGGAAATGCAAATTAAAACAACTCTGAGGTACCACTTCAACCTATCAGATTGGCTAACATGACAGAAAAGGGAAATGATAAATGTCGGAAGGGATGTGGGAAAGTTGGGACACATGCACTACTGGTGGCATTGTGAATTGATTCAATCATTCTGGGGAGCTATTTGGAACTATACCCAAAGGGCTATCACACCGTGCATACGCTTTGACCCAGCAATACCACTATTAGGTCTATATCACAAAGAGATTTAAAAAGGGAGAGAAAAGTACCTATTTGTACAAAAATATTTATAGCAGCTCTTTTTGTAATGGCAAAGAATTGGAAACTGAGGGGATGTTCATCAATTAGGGAATGGCTAAACAAGATGTAGTATATAAATGTAACGGAATACTAGTGTGCTATAAGAAATGATGAGCAGGATGATTTCAGAAAGACCTGGAAAGATTTACATGAACTGAGGCAAAGAGAAGTGAGCAAAAGCAGGAGAACCTTGTACACAGTAACAGCAATATTGTGCAATGATCAGCTACGAATGACTTAGCTATTCTCAGCAATACAATGATCCAAGACAATTACAAAGGACTCATGATGAAAAATGCTATCCGCATACAGAGAAAGAACTGATAAAGTCTGAATGCAGAGTGAAACAGACTATTTTTCACTTTATTTCATGGCATTTTCTTTTGGTTTGTTTCTTCTTTTACAACATGACTAATGTGGAAATATGTTTTATATGATTGCACATATATAACCTACATCAAACTGTTTACCATTTTAGGGAAGGGGATGTGAGAAAGGGAGGAAGAAAATTTGGAACTCAAAATTTTTTAAAATAAATGTTTAAAATTGTCTTTCCATGTAATTGGAGGAAAATACTATATAAATTTTTTAAAGTTTAAAAAGTTTTAAAAATTACATCCTTTTCCTTTTTCTTTGGGATACAGACTTAGCAGTGCTATTGCTAGATCAAAGGGTGTGCACAGTTTTATATCACTTTGAGCATAGTTTCAAATTGTTCTTCAGAATAGTTGGATCAGTTCACAACTCCACCAACAGTCCTTTAGTATACTTATTTTTCCATATCACTTTCAGCATTTATCATTTTTCTTTTCTGTTATTATATCCAGTTGACAGATTTGAGGTGGTACCTCAGAGTTATAATTTGTATTTCTCTAATTATTAGTGATTTAGAACATTTTCTTCGTTTGACTATTAATAGATTTTATTTCTTCATCTGACAACTGCCTATTCATATCCTCTGACCATTTATCATCTAGGGAATGACTCCTGTTTTTATAAATAATGAGACCTTTATCAGAGAAACTTGCTGTAAAAATTTTCCCCAGTTTCTTGTTTTCCTTCTCATTTTGACTACATTGGGGTTTTTGTGCAAAACCTTTTTAATTTATCTAATCAAAATCATCAGTTTTACCTCCCATAATCCTCTCTGTCTCTTGTTTGATCATAAATTCTTCCCTCACCCATAGACCTGACAGGTAATTTTTTTTCCCCATGTACCCCTCAATTGCTTATGATATCACACTTTATGTCTAAATCATATACCCATTTTGACCTTATCTTGGTATACGCTATGAGATGTTGGTCTATACCTAGTTTCTGCCTAACTGATTTCCATTTTTCCCTGCAGTTTTAGTTGAATGGTGAGTTCTTGTCCCCAAAGCTGGAATCTTTGGATTTATCAGATACTAGATTACTATGGTCATTTACTACTGTGTATTGTATACCTAATCTATTCCACTGATCCACCACTCTATTTCTTAGCCAGTACTAGATTGTCTTGATGATTACCACTTTGAAACACAGTTTAAAATCTAGTACTGCTAGGCCAACTTCCTTCACATTTTTTTCATTGATTCCCTTGATATTCTTGACTTTTTGTTCTTCCAGATGAATTTTGTTATTATTTTTCTAGCTCTACAAAGTGATTTTTTGGTAATTTGATTGAAATGGCACTAAATAAGTAAATTAATTTAGGTTGAATTGTTATTTTTATTATATTGGTTTAGCCCACCCATCAGCAATTAGTAATTCTCCAGTTGTTTAGATCTGCCTTTATTTGTGTGAAGTGCTTTGTAATTGTGTTCATATACTTTTTGTGAATCAATAAACATTGTAATCAGTAACCATTTATTAAGCTTCCCACTATGTGCCAGGCGCTGTGCTAGGCACTAGGGATATATAAAGAAGCAAAAGACAACCTCTGCCTTAAGGAGCTTTTTATTTATTTTTTGTTTTTTAATTTTTTGGCTAGGCAATGGGGTTAAGTGACTTGCCCAGGGTCACACAGCTAGTAAGTGTTATGTGTCTGAGGCCGGATTTGAACTCATGGCCTCCTGAATCCAGGGCTGGTGTTCTACCCACTGCCCACCTAGCTGCCCCCAAGGAACTTTAAATCTAATGGAAGAGACAACATGCAAATAAATGTATATGAATAAGCTCCATTCGAGATAAATAGAAAGCAATTCACAGAGGGAAGGCACATTCTAGAGGGAGGGGTTGGGGAAGGCTCTCTGCAGAAGATGAGATTTAGTTGAGCTTAAAGGAAATCAGGGAGGTTGTTAGTCAGAATGAAAGAGGGAGAACTCCAGTCTTCCAGACTCCAAACCCACCACTCCATCTACTTAAAACTGGGAGGGACCTCATAGCCAAGGCAACAAGCATTTATGAAGTGCCTACTATGTGCCAGGCAATATGCTAGGACTGAGCCGCTTAGTCCAATTTTGTCATTATTCATGTGAGGAAATTGAGACCCAGGATGTTTAAGTGATTCCAGGTCACACAGGCCTTCACTCTGCACCTCAGTGCCGTGAGATGTCTTGGACCCTTGTCCCCACTTCCCCCTCAGTTGTTTCCTAAGTGACCCAGCTCACAAATCTCCTACAAAAACCTTTTCTCATTCCAGGTAAAAACAGATATCTTTTTCAGAAATTTGGAAAAATCCCTGACACAACTGGCATTTTACCAAGGGACGGCGTGAGAGGAAGGTAATATTTTGTGTTTCATGTTCTCTCGTCCTGCTAAAGGGAAAGGCAATGAACAGCCCCCTGCAGTGATGGGAACCTTGGGGTACAGCCTAAAATGGCACCCTGTTCTTTTGTACCCTGGACATTTGGGAACAGTCCCCTCTGATCTCTTACCGGTTATTCCTGGGAGAAGGCAGCAGTGTGCTAAAGAACACAGAACATTGGGCTTGGAGTTCAAATCCTGCCTTGGACACTGTCACTCTTTCCTTCCTTCCCTCCCTCCCTCCTTCCTTCCCTCCCTCCCTCCCTCCCTCCTTCCTTCCTTCCTTCCTTCCTTCCCTTCCTTCCCTCCCTCCTTCCCTCCTTCCCTCCCTCCCTCCCTCCTTCCCTCCTTCCCTCCTTCCCTCCTTCCCTCCTTCCCTCCTTCCCTCCTTCCCTCCTTCCCTCCTTCCCCTTCTTCCCTCCTTCCCTCCCTCCCTTCCTTTCCTTCCT